TAGCTGAAATGTTTTGAGACAGGCCAAACTTATTGCAGGTATTCACTGTACCTCCTTTGTCGTTTCATCCCCACCATCACTTATCAGTTACAGCTGATTGCATCTCTCTCCTGGCAGAAGTCTACTCCTGATTAACCCATAATATCACAGGATAGATTGTGACAAGTTCCTGCCCTGCTTTTTTCTTTTTTGGTGCACTGTCGGCTGTTCTAAACAGCAGGTTGCATGTACATGTCCATGACATTTTATTTGTCATTTAGCATCATCAAACATTACAGTCAAAAACTCACTATTCAATATCGTATTGATCAATCTATGGGTAATCATTGAGGTAGTTTCTTATTTGCTAAATGTTTTCTGTCACCCATGAAACACCATTTGTTTAATGTTATTTGCTTTCAGGCTTTATCAAAGCCTACATTTCTTAAAATTAAATTAGGAAACATGTTTTCTTTTTGTATGAATTTATAAAAAAAAAATACAGATGCCTACTGAGAAAAATATATACTATAATTTATCAGTTTCCTTAAAAGGCAGGGTATCAAAAAATGTGTAACTAAGGCATGCTCCAAGGGACATACATTCACTGTTCTGCCAATTAATTGTGTATCCAGTACACAATGTCATTGCATTTCTGGGCCATCGTTTATTATTCACCGTGAAACCGAATGAAGCTACACTGATTGCAGTTAAGATCTCAGCTAACTTGTTATTGACATTTACATGCTGCTATTTTAAAGGGCAACTTGACTGCATTAACCCACCAGCCCTGAACTTTCCTCATAGACTCTTTGAATGGATTCTAAGGCACCTTTTTCCCTTTTTTATTAGCTATTTGTTCACATTGTGTTTGTTTTCAGTTGTGTTTAGTGTTTGCATAGTTAGATACAATACTTGAATAGGGATTGTTAGCTAATAAAGGTTCTGATATTTTAATCTGTGGTCTTTTGTGGTTATTTATCCAGTGAACAATTTATTACTGGGAGCCAGTTACACCCTCCTTTGGTTAACATTTGAAGAAACAGACATTTTCTTTGGTTGGAGATTAATAACTCTGCTGATAGCCAAAGTCTACATTACTAAATTGGTGAAAGGGAACTAGATTTTAACAGCCGGTCCAGAAGTACCACCTTGGGTAAAAGACTAAGCTTGGTGACTAAGCGGGTTACAATTATAATCATTTAACTGGTCATAAATTGGTATTACCCTTGATTTGAATGACAAATTAATTGACTAAACTTTCAGTTTGAGTTATTTAATATATTCATAATATGCTGGTAAAATTAAACAAGACTGACAAGTCAAGAATATATGGAACTTGTGACCCAGTTCAAAATGTTTTTGCCAGATTTTAAACAAATGGTCAAATATCTGATTAGGCTAAATGTTGAAGTTATATTTCAAAACAAGGATATTTTGTAAAATTTAAGGATTTAGAGGCAACCTATAGTTAAGCTGCCAACTGTTTTTCAACTTCTATGAAACATTTTGATTTTTTTTTTCCAGGAGCTAAATCACCTCACTGTTTAAATTAATTTTTTATTTAATTCTAAGTTGACTCACTTAAAAAGAGGCATAGAATAGACAACTCATACTTTTGATGTAATAAGTGTTTTTGAATCCTGACCAAAGGAAGGCATCTTCACTTCTCTTAGTAGAAATGGCTGATCATCAAAGGTGGGGTTTTATACACAATCCAAAGGCATCTTGTGAGAGTGAGGTTATGCAGGCTATCGAGCCATACCTGCTAAAATTGCCAGACTCACCTCCATGCTTAGCCTGTGCTCTCCAAGTGTACAAGTGAACATCCTTATGCTTGAGCATGGTCATACTTATGGACAATCCATGAGATGACGATGAAACACTAGTCTGGTTCAGAACCAGGGGTTCATTCTTCCAAATCAAGCAAGCCCCTGAACAAGCCACCACACCCACCCTCAGGTGGGTGGTGGCTGCCATTTGGCCTATAGGCCAAAATGACAGTCAGAGACCTCCCCACTGAGCTGTTGATGACCTCAGCTGATGAGACATCTGAGCTGTGGGGAGACAGACAGAGCCAATCCAGTCCTAAGCTCACTCAATGAGCCGGGTTCCAGAGAATGGCACCAGGTTGATGTTTGACTTTTTGGTCATATCTCCTGACCACTGGCTGCCTGTCTTAGACACTTGGGTGATGAAGCTGTCCACCAACACCAACTGGTGCTAAGCTGGATTTGCTGGAGGTGGAGGAATTAGGACAGACTCGGCAGACCCATTTGAGCAGTGAGTGTCTCCTCAGAACGATTGGTGGAGCCCTTGGTCAAGGATATAATGAACTCCCACCTCCAGGAGAGCTGCTATAAGATTCGGAGGTAGGCTGGGGACATAGAGTCGGAGCGGACCATGTTCTCTCCATCTATTGTTGATGCGGCTGTTCATAGCTGTGGCCAGAAGGCCTTCAGTGCCTGTCACAGTGGCAACCTCTAAACACAGTGGTGAATACTGGCAGTAAGGCCTGCTGTAAAGCTGAGGAAGGAATCATATCAAGCCTGGTTGGCTTGTGGACTTGACTGAAACAGCAAGCAGGTATTGTGAAGCCCAGCTTATCACAGCGCTGCACGTCCCCGTCCTAGAGCTGCTTCCTTCTCCTGTCAGACGCGATGTTTCTGCAACTCTACTGGGTAGATAGGGATCATCTTGTCCTTTTAGTGAACAGAAAACTTTTGATGTGCTAGTTCTAGAATCAAAAAAGACTGAGGAGCAACATTTGTTTGAAGGAGATAAAACAGACTCTTTTATTTCTTTCCGACAAATGTTGGTAAGCTGTGTACAACTGTGAGCATGCTTTACTTCTTGAGTAAGCCAAGGTCCTTTAGTGTCTGCAGCAAGATACTGCATAACTTTTATACGTTTGTTGTGGAACAAGCAGTGATGGGCAGTAGCGCCGCTACATGTAGCGAAGCTATTAGTTTAACTACATTTTCCAGTAGCTTGACCGTAGCGTCGCTGCTTTATTTATCAAGTAACTTTCCTGTAGCAACGTTATTGTTTTGATCAAGTAGCGACGTAGCGTCCACAAACGCTACAAAATCCAGGGCAAAACTAAGAAATGAAACCAGGTTTTCTATTTTGAAACAACAATCAGCCACAAAACTACTGTAAATAGCAGTTTCAGCTGACGCTCTTATAAGTGGCTTAGTAGCACAGGCACACTCAGTAGGGTTAAACAAGCGCACCCTTTCCGAGGCTGTCGTTCTATTGGCTGGAAAGGTTGCTAGGCAACGATCCAACTGCAGTCTGAGAGGGCAAAACAAATCCGCAAGCAGAGCCTACGGGTTTGCGAGCGTAACAGAGCGCGGTTTGTGCGCGAAGAGAAGGAGGCAAGCGAGAGGAGAAAATATCTGTGCAAGAAGGATTAAATCTGAGAGAAGAAACAAAGAGAGAAGAGAAAATATTTGAGAGAGAGCGCATGTTTTGAGTGTGAGCATTATAAGTTTTGAGAGCAAGAAGATGAAATTCTTTTCTCAAATTGAAATGATGTGCTCTTGCATTATGGCAGGATAATTCTCCCATTTGTGCCACTAAGATACTCTAATTAGAGAGCAGTAGTGTTTTCATGGCCTAGTTTACCTGACAGGATGTTTACATAAATCTGTTTTTAGGCTGTGCACAGATAAGATCGTTTATGGAGGAACAGCTCTACCGTATATAAAATAAATACATAAATAAATAAATGCTCAATAAATAAATAAATAAGCATTCAATTAATTGCCTCCAAAAATACAATGAATACATATGTAGGTAGAAATTAAATTAAATGGTGAGACATATATATATGTATCTCTTAAATAGCTTCTTTATTTTTTCACCTTCTTTTGTAAACAGTTTTGTTTGTTACTTGAATCAACTGTTTAATTGAGGTCTTTTGTAGGGTTTTGTTTTCCCTAGAGATGTCCATTGAATGCAAACTCATAGCCATGTCTCAGTGTGTAGAACACTACACAGTACCTTTAATTTGGTTCTAATAACAGCAGATTGTTTACTAGTTTGTCTACTAGTAATTACTTCAGTTTTTATTTTAATATGCTTATCATAAAGCAATGTTTACACTGTGTTATGTCATTGGCTGATCTTTAATAAATATTTTAACCAGTGTATCAGACTCATTTTGAATTGATATTAGGTTGGTACAACGTTAAGTAGCTTCTGATGTAGTTAAGCTACTTTTAACACATTAGTGTAACTTAGCTTGCTATAATTCTTTAGGTGGTAGCTTTTGTGTAGTGAAGCTTAATTTATTGTTAGCTTAGCTCACTACACTGGACAAGTAGCTTGCCCAACACTGGGAACAAGGGATATCTTCTGTCATCATCTGTTGGGGTAGCAGCATCAGAGAAAAGAGCCTTAAGATCAACAAGTTTATAAAGAAGGCTAACTCTAGTTTGTGAACTCTAGAACTGAGCAACCTGGTAGTGAGACTATAGACAAAATGGTCTTTTGTCTTCAAAGCCGTACTGCAAGACTGACTGCTACAGGGGACTTACTGCCTAAATCTATTAACATTGACAATAACTTGTTAAACAAAAGCCATATGTTACAACAACTATTTAAATTGCCTTCTAGATTAATAAATTGTTTTGTTTTTTATTAAATTGGTATTAATTAATTTTTTGTGTTTTTATGGTTTTCGCATTACAATTTAATCAAAATGTACAGTTTTTTTCCTTTGGCACATTTGCTCATTGAGGAATATTAAAAGTATTTTTTTAGATTAATTAATAATTTAAATGTATGAATTAATTGGTTACTTAGATAATCAATAGTTACATAACTAATACTTCACCAATTTATTAAAAAAACATAGAAAAAAATGATTTCCATTAAACTTTTTATGTCAAGGTTTATTTAAACTTGTCTCCAAATGCACTAAGCCTTTTGTTTATGTATTATCTGTAAAGTTTCCTGTTTCATGCATTGAAATAATTGTCCTCTCCTTTTCTGCTCTTCTTCCATCTCGTTAGATCCAGACTTTGCTGACTTGGGAGTGCCTCCACCTCTGCCCTGTAGGTATACTCCTCAAGCTGTGCTTCATATTATTTTAGTTTTGTTTTCTGATTTTTTATTTTTTTGTCTTTTTTGCTTACTTCTGATTGCATTTTCTTCTCCTAAGCCCTCTGTTATTTCTTGCTAAGGCATTTTATGCTTCTTTGTACATACTGGGTAACATTTATCTAATATTTGTATATGCAACTGTCATCATTGTTACTTACTATAAATGGGTAAATATAGCGGCTATTTCCATTTAGGCTTCATTCTCATAAGGATGTAATGGTATATGGTATATTGAGTTTCAATGGAAAATTCCTAATAACTTATTTCTTAGAATTTCTTAGGTTTTAATAAAATTTTACTGTCATATTATATCTATCCATCCTCCCCAGCTTCCATAAGGGTCAAAGTGGTGCCGGTGCCTATCTCTGGCTCTCAATGGGAAAAAAGGCAGGGTACAATCAGGACAGTAGCCAGTCTGTCGGAGGGCAACATAGAGACAAACATAATAGAGACAAAATAACATAAAACCCTGTATAGACGCCTATAGAGACGCCAATCAATAGTCCTGATTTGGACTATGGGAGGAAGCCAGAGTACCCACACATGCATGGGAGAAACATGCAAACCCCATGCAGAAAGACCTTGGAGTGGGAATCAAACCCAGAACCTTACTGCTGCAAGACAACAGTGCTACAAACTGCAGCACCATGCAGTCCTTTTAGGTTCCATTAATGTTAATGCGGGAGAAGTTTGAAAAATGATTATGCCATATAGGGAAGGATTACAGGTCAATTTCCAGGCAATTATTGTTGAGGACTAAAACTGACAAAATAATTAAATATTTTCTTTTTCCCTTTCTTAATACATAAACTTTTCATAAGGAAATTTATATATTTTCATTTTCCTTATACAAGCCTTTTTTGTTTTTACATTTCCTCATCTCATTTTCCTTACCCCTATGCATTTCTACCTCGTATTTTACCTTTAGCGTATGCATTTCTGCCTCCTCTTTTTTAAGTACACCTTGAAAAAAAGAGATTAGGAACTGTCAAAAGAACAGTCTAATATAAAGAAAAGCAATAATAAAAAACATTTCTTGAAGTATTCATATATTTTAAATATTTTTATTTTTTGATGAAAATGCATGTATTAAGAAACTAAATAACTAATTAAATACAGCTTGTATTTATATCATTAACTATTCCATAAATTATGGACTAATCATAGAAACTAGAGTTATATTTGTGTTCATGTTGACATAACAGCTCACTGTGCTGTTGTAATTTTGTATTAACTTGCTGATGTTGCCAGACCAAAAGGTTTGAAAGTGTATTTTTGTGGAACTTGTGTAAATTGTATATTAAACCAGATTTACCCAACTGAAAGAGCAAGTGAATGCATTTATTTATTCTAAATTATACAAGAAAAATAACAGTTAGGGCAGATGGTGAAAGATGCACATTTGGTCTTCAGCCATAAAACCTGGGCACCTCATTGTCATTGATTTAACCATGAACTCCTGTTTATTCAGTGCACTCTAGTTTCACATGTATGGTTATCTGTGTAACAGCTGAAGTGTGGTGGAAGTGGATCCATCTTACTCTTTACTGAAATTCTGTGGTGAGACCAGAAGTCAGCTTTAAAAAATTCTTCCCAGACTCAATTGACTAAATTTTCACAAGTAAAAGTGGGTCAAAATTTCTTCACAATGATTATAAAATAATCAAACAAAAAATAACAATTTAAAGGTTTTGTTGATTATGAGCTTTGCCTACAGTAGCTTTTTCAATTATTTTTTTTAATTTTATTCCTTGTTTATACATATACCTGTGTTTCAGCCTGTCAGTATGATATGGTAGGTCCAGAGGGCATCGTTGAGTCACATCAGATCACCAGAGATGGGAAAGCTGGTGCCACTGAGGCTGTCGACTGTAAATGGTACATCCGTGCTCCACCCCGTTCCAAGGTCAGTGAGATCAATTCTTCCCTATCTTGTGCGTGATGTTTTAAGTAAGTTCAACTAATTCACTCTTTATAGAGACATCTCAGACGCATCTTGCATAGCTTCTTTTGCATAGATTTGTGCTGCTCTGGGGTAAATAAAAAAATCCACAGCTAGGGTCAGAGCGATAGTCAGGATAGAAGGGTTTATTTAAGGCCAGGACGGTTTTTTTTTTTGAAGCAAAGGAGTGTGGCCATGAGGGAAAAAGTGTTGAAAGGATGTGGAATGTAAAAAGAAACTGAAGGAGATGATGACTTGGTAGACCAGATAGAGAGACTCACAAATTTTCTGAAGAAATAATCTGTGAAGCCGTTTGACCCTTGAGCTGAGGCTTCCCATATTTGTTTTCTATGCCAGGGTTCAGGACGCAGCTCTGCATGCAAAAAAAATACAGGTATTCATCTACACTTGTAAACATGCACAACATCACTCCAGCTGCTAATACACTGAGTGTAGACTTACTTTCTGATTTTCAGGAGGAACCTGTGCTGAATTAATGATGATTAAACGTCTCCTGAGTCTGTAGCATCAAACCGGAAAATGACACATTTTAGAAAAGCTGTGTCCTGGTTACACTGATCAGCCATAACGTTATAACCCCTAAGCTCAAAACTGCTCTTGAACATTGCAGAACACTGTCTTTGTCTGTGTCCCTACTGACTAGCTCTTCATTGTAAAAAATGTTTTTTTTTATTCTTAATAACATATTTTTTGTTGAACTCTATTGATCTCACATTGGAGAAATTTAACTGTGCATTTAACCCATCCCCTTGGGGAGCAGTGGGCTGCCATCATGGGGTCTTTGCTCAGAGAGCGAGAGTGGCAGTCTGTGGTAGTGGGGCTCAAACTCAGAACCTCGGGATTCCAAGCTCTATGCCCTTACCACTAGGTCGCCACTCCCCATTCATTTTCTTTTTCTTGCTTTTTAGATCACATTTGAATTGTGTTGCGTTTCTGGACATTAGCATTTTATTCTTGTAGTTTCTTTATTAATTTTGTCTTCAGTTGTTTTAGGCAGAATACCTAAAAATGTAACAAGTTTTACTTATTTGTTATTTCTCACAAAACGCAACTAAGTTAGTAACTCAGATACAGAAATATCAAAGTCAGCAAAGTAATTATAAAGTTACTTTTAATTATGTACTATTATTTACATAATAGTAATATTTATTAGATAAATAAATAAATAAATATCAAATCTATTAACAAAAAGTATAAAAATTCTGAAAACATTGTTATCTACATCATTTTGGTGTGTGAGGTCTATCAAGTGTGTCAAGACATTTGCAGCAGTATGATTATGTAAATGTGATTCTTTTGTTTAATGTTTATAATAAAATAATTCCATTCCATTCTATTCTATTCAGTTTATTAATATAGTGTCAATTCATAACAAATCATCTCAAGCACTTTACAGAAAAAATTCAACCGGATCCTACCGTCAGATTTGTTCAAAGTTTTGTATCTTAGGTAAACCAGCTGATTGCATTGACTCAAAGGCAATCCCTCATGCTAAGCATGCTTGTAGCGACAGTGGAGAGGAAAACTCCCTTTTAACAGGAAGGAACCTCCAGCAGAACCAGGCTCAGTGTGAGTGGCCATCTGCTGAGGCCGACTGGGGTTCAAGAAGGCAGAAGCAGAGACACAGAAAGAAGCAGAGAGCAAAAGGCAACTGGCAATCAGTTCCACTGGTGATCCCGTCCAAGAAAGACACAGCCAGGCAGAAGAGTGCTCTGTTAGGATGGAGCTTGGCCATTTAAGAACAATAAACCAAATTAAATGTTTCAGAACTTATATATTATACATATTTAAATGTTCAATTATCTATGAAATAAGTGTAATGCTGAAATATAGAATACTTTTCAAGCAATTTAACAAAAATAAAATGTACTTTTCTATTCCAGTTTTTTTTTAAAGAGTAACATTGTACTCCTTGTATTTTTTTTTTTGTAAAAATAATGCCAAACCATGCCAGAGAAATCAGTATAACACTGAAAAAGTAAATAGCAATATGTTTTGATAAACTAACACATACAGTTAAAAGTCCAATGTTCTTGATGGTGAGATGACTTTAAGTCTTTCTTTGCCCCCATAGTGAGTTTTATTAAAGGAACATATAGTATATAACTTCACAGAACACTTCCAGTTTAGTAGGGCCAGGTATCACTGAATCTATGGGGCTCCCCGCTGTTGTCTCTCTTCTCATTTTGTGTGCAGCAATCAATACTTGCTGAACACCCACCCACAATACGCCCCACAGCCAATCAGTCTCACGCATACCTCTATCTCAGCTACCCTCCTCTGTCTCTACTGCAAAAGCCTGAAAACAGTTCCCTCCTCACTGCAGAGAGACTGCGCTTGTGAAAATCCACTTTGACGGATTAAGTTGTAGTAACTCACTGCATTAGACTGAAGTAACACCAATATGTGAGAGGCAATTAGTTGGATTACTTTTTGGAAAAAAAAAGACTAATGTTGTTATTGACGCTGCTACAATGTAACACAATTACTCAACACTGGTCTTCATTCAGAACACTGTTTCAAGAACTAAGCAGAGAAGAGGTTCCGAATATATTATATTTGATCTTTGGATGATCCTGCTGCCTTATTCTGACTGACCACCTTTTTTTCTTCTGCAACATTTTTCCCAAAAGAAAGGAGTAATTTACATTGTTAAAAAGAATTAATGATTCTTAGCTGAAGTAATGTTTCATTTTGAATAGTTGAATGCCTCTCTCAAAAGAAAAGAGAGAAAAGATTCCTGTTCTATTATGTACAAAGCTGTTCTGATGCATCCACACAGCGTTTATGATATGGTTGGCTGATAATAATGGCTGTGATTCATAGTCGCAACAGCCATTGTTATCTGGCATCCTCTTCAGGGTTGGCCATTTCCCTTTAATGCCTTTGTTTCCCTCAGAAATGTCCTTCTGATTGAGCTGCTTTAAAAGTCAAGGCCACAGCAGCTATAAGATTGAAGCATCAACCTTCAGACATTCTTTCTAAGTTATCTGAACCCATTTTGGGACCTATGATAAGTGGTCATTAGAGAGAACGAAGGGAGGTTGAGGGATGCTGGGAACTGATCAATGTCATAGTTTTTATTTTTATTTTATTTTTTTTATTTAGCATGGTTTCCTTGCCTTTTCTTGTATAGGGCAACATTTGCATGCATCCTAAAGAGTGTGAGTCAGCCTGTTTTAAAATATCCAAATGGGAGTAGTTAAAACTAAAATACTGTGACTGTTTAAAAGTGGTCTAGTGCACTCCGTTTTAAACAGATCAGAATTTCACTCTGATAAATTGCATCCCAGAGCAAGTCGAGGGCAAAAATCTCCACCAACTCCTACATATGCATATTTGGTTTTGCATTTTTCAATCTTTAAATGTCTTCAGACTTGCACTTGTCATTTTGTCATATATTATTATTTTTCTCTCAAAGTGTGCAGCCATTTATTGCTTTTACAGCAATACAATGCAGTAAAGGAAGCAGATGCTATCTCCCTTGTTTTATGTGTTCATACATGTTGCTGTGTCGTAATCTGATCAAATAGCTCATTCCCCTTATGCTCGCACAGCACTATACTGTTGCCAGAATGCCACAGAAACGGTAGAGAGATACAGACATCCTATGCCCAAGGCTCTAATTAGACTACACTGGAGGACTCCAGAGAGAAAGCAGGAAAAACGGGGTGCAAAAAGGAGGGCGGTTGCTTAATAATGCATTTTATCTAAGGTCTTAATGTATAAGGGATGGAGATTAAGGGTGGATGGCAGATGGCAAGAGAGAAAGAGGAAAAAGAGGTGAGAGAGAAAGAGAGAGACAGGAAGGGTAGGCACAACTGCAGGAAGCTGTAATGGCCATGTGTTGTTGCCAGAAGTGACAGCAATGCAGCACTTTTAATGATGATGTTAGAACTTTACACCAGCATGTGTCATCTGAACATCAACATTTTCTATAAAGAGAATGTGTAACAACCATGAGAAAAAAAAAAAAAGCAAAATTGGTGATTTAAATGTCAAATTCAAAAACACATCTGTTGAATGTGTTTTTTTCCACATAAATTTGTTCCTTTTGTTATTTCTTTGAAGACAGATGTCCAAACATTGCTGGAAGCTCTTGGGAGCTCAGAGACTCTTTTCTCTATATAGCATGTTTTTCCTGTTACTTATTTTCTATCATAACTGTCTGGACTTTCTAAAACCTACTGTTTATCAGTTATGTGTACAATCAAAATATAGTCCATTATTCTGACTGCAATGAGCAGAATAATCTATTTTGGGCACAGAGGGAACATTGTGTTCAATTATTGAGAAGTGCTAAAGCTTGAGTCCTTTTTTTTTTTTCTTGGAGCAAATTATTTGGACTTTCAAATTATGATAACATTTTCCTCTTTTATCAAATTCAATCTGTCCTTGGCTTTTTTCAGTCATTTAGAGTTAATCGACGTAGCAATAGAAATTTGTGGACAGTATACAGTGTGTACAGGTGCTGGTCATAAAATTAGAATATCATGAAAAAGTAGATTGATTTCAGTAATTCCATTTAAAAAGTGAAACTTGTATATTATATTCATACATTACATACAAACTCATATATTTCAGATGTTTATTTTGTTTAATTTTGATGATTACAAATGACAACAAATGAAAATCTCAAATTCATCATATCAGAAAATTAGAATATTACTGAAGACCAATAAAAACAAAGGATTTATAGAAATGTTGGCCAACTGAAAAGTATGAACATGAAAAGTATGAGCATGTACAGCACTCAGTATTTAGTTGGGCCTCCTTTGGCCTGTATTACTGCAGCAATGCGGCGTGGCATGGAGTCGATCAGTCTGTGGCACTGCTCAGGTGTTATGATAGCCCAGGTTGCTCTAATAGTGGCTTTTAGCTCTTCTGAATTGTTGGGTCTGGTGTATTGCATCTTCTTCTTCACAATACCCCATAGATTTTCT